CCTTTGTGAGGACAAGTTGCTGCTTCTCTCAGAGGTTTGTGGCTGAATTTGTTTTATGGTCTTAATTTTCAAACTTACATTAAAATAATTATTAAAGTGGACGCTGTTACAATACTTTGACATTTGCTCAGGTTCACTTATCTCAGAGTACTTTGAATAATTGAACTCAGGTGATGTTTTCCGTCATACAGGTAAGATTAGATATGTTCCTGTGACTAATGTCTCGTCTGTTCGTGGCCTTTGAGTGTCCAGATCCATCCAATAAGAGTCCAGCTACGCTCCTGCAGCTGATTGGTGCTCCTAGAAATATTTTAATGGAGATGCAATAGCAACCACAAATCCAGGAAAAAAAACACATTATATGAAAGTTAAAAAATGATTTGCATGCTACTGGGAGAAAGAAGTATTTGATCCCCTACAGCCCAGCAGGAATAACTGCTTCTCCTGATCGCAACTCGCTGTGTGTTCAAAGCTTACCTGTCCACAGAAAATGTTCCAGCCTCTCCAGCAAGGTTGGGCAACACCAACGAGCTATCAAACATCAGGAAGACGCTGATAAAAAGACTATCAGTCACCATCGGTCTGGACCTCCATGCAAGATCTTTGCTCGTGGGGTGAGGATGATCATGAGAAAGGTGGAAGATCAGCCCAACATGACACGGGAGGAGCTCGTTATCAAACTGAAGGCAGTCGGGACCACAGTCACCAAGAACACCGCTGATAGCACACTGCAGTGCATTGAAATCTTACAGATCCCCCTGCTCAAGAGTGCACATGTACAGGCACGTCTTAAGTTTGCCACTGAACGTCTAAAACATCAACTCGACCCGCCATGTTTGGAGGAATAGATATGCTGAGTATGACCAAAAGAACACCATCCTCAGTCAAGCGCAGAGGTGGAGACGTTGTGCTTTGGGGCTGTTTTTTAGGGCTACTGGATGACTTCATCGCAGTGCATGGGGCCGTTTCCATAATATCTTTGTACTGGTCTTCAAGCATGACAGTAACCCAAAACATAGACAAGGCAACAGAGGAGAGGCCTAGCCAGACCTCAGTCCAGTCTGAAAATTTGTGGAGCGAGCTGAAGCTTTGAGAAGAAGAAACCCAAAGGATTACAGAGTTTCTGTAAAGAGGAGTGTGCAAACGTCTTACACTAATCAGGGTTTCTTCACCAAGCACTAAGTCATGTTTGGCTTATTTTACTCAGTGACATGCAAATCAAGTGAGGTGGAAGTGATGAAACGATCATTTCCAACGCTGAACATAAAATGAAGCAGCACAGAGCTGAGAGCACAGCTAAATAAAGAAGAAGCTAAAATATGCAGACTTCTTGTAAAGCTTTGTGCCAAAGCCTTTACTCTACTACTCATTTTGAAGCCCTGGCTACTTGTGAGAGCTTGATCCACATTGTTTTAGTAAATCAGGACTATTTCCAATGCATGTTGGCCAGACCTGCTATGTGGTCTCCTCTTTTGGTGGAAGAAGAGGCTCTGCTGGCCTCGTTACGAGGTAACCTCCAACTTCTGCTGGGATGAGAATCGGCACCTCAAGGTCCGAGGCCGTGGTTCATGGCCGGATTAGGGTGGATTTAAAACTAGTTGCTGCCTCATGTGGAGAATTTCAAGTATCTCTGGGGTTTTGTCATGGTGAGAGGGAGACTGGAGCAGGTTGATTAGTGATGTAGACGCTTTAACAGCCTGTTGTGCTAAAGAAAGAACTGAGAGTGAAGCTGTTGGTGTAACTGTCAATCTACATTCCTCATCTGTGGCCACGAGCTATGAGTCTGAAGGAATAAGATCATAGATGAAAGAGGCAGAAATGAGACAGCTGGGTTCAGCTTTAGACAGAGAGTGAAGACATCAGAGTAGAGCAATGGAGCTTTGACCCGAGAAGCTTCTCCAGTTCAGAAACCAAATCCAGGTGGTGAATCCCAGGAATTTAAACCTTAGTGGGGTTTTCCTTTATCTTGTCATTTGATGAGAGGTGAAACATCTTCACAAAACTTAAAGGAGTCCAGTCAGTTTCTTTCCAAGCTCCTAAGACGACCAAGACCCGGATGACTGAGACCCTACACTGACATATCAGAGTGGAGCTGCTCCTCCAAACTGAAAGGAGCCAGCTGAGATGCCTCCTGGGCCCCTCCTAGGTGAGGTGTTTCAGGAATGTCCAACTGGGAGAAGGCTCTGGAGTGATCTCTGCT